TCCCATTAGCCCCATGGCTGATTTGCTGGAATTCAATCATCTGGCCCCAGTGACCCTGGGCCTGGATCTCCTGGCTTCTCCCAAAGTCTGAATTGAAGAGCAACAGGCTGGGCTTCAAGGAGCGGGGGCTGGGGAGCTGCGGGGGCTCTGGGCACAGAGCTCCATCCCAGCACCAGACACCCCCACGTGCAGACACCCAGAGTCTCAAACACACACACACACACACACACACACACACACACTCACTCACACACACACACACATATCAGCCTTAGGTGGAGCTGAGTCCTGCCCAGTACTCCCCAGGTTTCTGACTGGAGAGAGGAACCGGAGGACTCACCACGTCACCCTTCTCCCCAGCTCGGCCTGGTGGCCCCCTCGGACCTTCCTCACCCTGGAAAGAAGGACAAACGACAAAGAGGAATCCAAGTTAATGAGCTCAGGGGGAGCCACACCCCCTTCCCATCCCCAGGAAGGCCAGCCTGGAGGTGCGTGGGGAGGGGAGCTGCAGCACTTACCGGAGACCCCGCGGCGCCAACGGAGCCCACCATGCCTTTGTACCCACGAGGACCCTGGGAGAGGAAGGGGTGTGGGTCAGTCCCAGAGGCCAGAGGGCTGTCAGGGCAGCTCATGCAGGATACCCAGGCTCACTCACCGTCTCTCCCTTGGGTCCTGCCATGCCTGGGTAGCCCCTGACACCCTGGGGACCCTGTCAGGACAGAAGAATGACAGTGATGGCAATTGCAAAGCCCACTTCATGATAACTTCTCTGACCTCCATCCTCAGTCTTTTTTTTTTTTTTTTTTTTTTTTTTTTTTTTTTTAATCCTCACCCGAGGATATTTTTCCATTTTTTGTACAGATAGAGTGGGAGGGAGAGAGAGAGAGAAACATCGACGTGAAGGGACACATCGAGTGGCTGCCACCCGCACGACCAACCAGGGCCAGGGACAAACTGCAACCGAAGTACGTGCCCTTAGCGGGAACCAAACCCGGGTCTCTCCGGACCGCAGGCCGACGCTCTAACCGCTGAGCCAAACTGGCCAGGGCCATCCTCAGTCTTTACGACGCCTCTGAGTCCCTGTCTCATAGAGGAGACTGAGGCTCAGAGATAGGGAGGGACTTGCAGAGTCACTCAAAGGGACAGTGGCCTCAGCTGAGTCTGCTGACCGACAGCTGGTTCTGTGCCCCAATTTATGACAGTCAGCTTAAGCCTCCCTCTCCCCACCCAGAGACATGCCAGCTGGGCACAGGCGTTTCTTCTACAAGTTAGAGCCTGGAGCCCGGCTGGTGTGGCTCAGAGGACTGAGCATCCTCCCATGTGCTGAGAGGTCCCAGTGCGACTCCGGGGCCGGGTACATGCCCAGGTTGTGGGCCCCAACCCCAGTAGGGGGCGTGCAGGGGGTAGCTGATCGATGTTTCTCCACTAAGGTCTCCTAGGATGAGGAGGGGAACCCGGGGTGGGGGGGGGGGCGCTTTCCTTACCGGCGGTCCAGGGATGCCTTGCTCTCCAGAGGCTCCCACATCTCCTTTGGGACCCTAAGGGGCAGGATTGAGTGATTAGACAGGCAGGCAGATGGGAGAGTAGTATTCAGGCCACCAAAGATACCATCCCTTTCCACCCCATGTGACAGAGGAGGAAATGGGGGCCCAGCAGGGAGAAGTCAGTGCCCAGGGACACACTGACCTAGAACATGGGTCTCCTGCTTCCCAGCTCAAGGCTCTGTCCCAGACACCACAGGGAAGGGGAAGGGAGGAGGAAGGGAGAGGAGGAAGAGGTAGGGTCCTCTGCCCTCACACTTACTGGCTTCCCAAGGCGGCCGGGATCCCCCAGAACCCCACGTTTCCCAGGATGCCCCTAAAGGGAAAGAGCCAGCTCAGTGTGAGGTTCCCACCCGACCACCTGCTCTGCCCTCCCGAGACCAGCTCACCTTCACTCCCTGCAGCCCCTGGGGGCCTTTCACACCCGCTGGACAGTTGGTTGGACACTGGAAAGAAAAGACCCCAGGTCTGTGGTCACGGACCGGCCTCAAGCCAGCTGGACAGTGCTTCCCCATCTTGCCCATTCCCAAACCCTCCTCCTACCCACCTGGCTGAGCCGCTCTGCAAAGCCCTTCCCCACCTCCCACTGACCCAACTTATCTCCACCACTGCCCGTCTCACCCCAGGACCACCGCTCACCAGGAAATCCGCGCTGCCTTCCAGGCCCTGGATGGTTCCCGGGCGGCCCTGAGGAGAGACGTGTGCAGATGAAACCGACCCTGAGCCTTCCCCCGCCCCAGGCTTGCTTCGAGCACCCATCTCCTTCCTCGGCTGCACACCGTCAGTGTGGAGGTACGAGGACACTTACTGGTTTCCCAGGGGGTCCGGGGGGCCCTGATGGTCCCTCTGGTCCAGGGTCTCCCTGGAAGCAAGAGAAGCCCGAATCATACCCCTGTCCAGCCTCCCCTCCAGGTCACCTCCTGAGATGGGCCCTTGGGGAGATCAAGGCCCGATCAGCAAGGGATGGCCCCAGCCCCTGGTCTCCCTGAAAGACCTACCACAGGGCGGGCTCAGCAGGAGGGGTTTCTGCCCCAGACCTGGAGGAGCTCCCAGTGGCCAGAAGCAGGCCCAGGAACTCCTGGGGAGACACCTAGCCTGCAGGCGCGAGGCAGAGGGCAGGAGGCAGAGTCAGCAGAGGGGTGGCTGGGGCTCACCTTGGGGCCTGTGATTCCAATCTCACCGGGGAGGCCAACAGGTCCAGGTGGTCCCTAGGAGTAGAGACATCACTGGCCAGGATGCCTCAGAGGGTTAGCCCACCCCAGGCACAAAGGTAGGGGCAGGTGCCAGAGCACCCTTCCCCACTTTCACTTTGCAACCAGCTGCAGAGAGACTGACTGAGAAGGGTTTAAGGAACAGAGACTCCCACAGCCAGTGGATAGGCCCAGAGTGGGCTGGCCCCGAGTTCTCTGGCAAGTCTGCCCATTCCTGACATCACAGCATGTTGGCCCCTCCCCGTGATGGCCAGTCCCCTAGAAGCCATTCTGTATCATCATTCCCTGGGAGTCTTGGGACCCTGTCCTGTTCCTGAGCACTTACAGGAGGTCCAGCGAAGCCAGGGCCCTGGAACAGAAGGAAAGAAGATCAGGTTGATGGCCCCTTCTTAGGTCCCCCCTATGCACACAGGGTCATTGAAGCCTTTGCAGGTTATACTCACCGGCAGCCCTGGGGGACCGGGCAGCCCGGGCTGGCCCTGCAAGAACAGTGGGAGAGGCTCAGAGGCGGGGATGTCCTGGGTCCCTGCTCCTGTCTACGGCAGCCCCTCCCACACTCCAGCTCTAGACCGCCTATGCTGAGGCCCCAGTAGGCCACTGACCTTGACTCCAGGGGTCCCAATGGGGCCAGGCTCCCCCTTAGCTCCAGTTAGACCCTGAGGAAGAAAGAAGGTAGATTACTGAGGGGCAAACCCTCATGGAGCTGGAGAGGTACAGAAGTCTCTCCTGGGCGGACCCAGACTGCCTTTCACCCCATTCCTTAAAGGCCTAGGAGCCTCAACATCTCACTTTCCTTGTCCCCATTCCCAAAGCAACCCTGGGAGGTAGGAAGGAGGAGGATTATCTTCTTTTGAAAGATGAGAAATCGAGGCTCAAAGATCTGTTAGCCAGGCCTCAGGCCTCTGGCCTCCCAGGTTAGAGTCTGGAAGACTTAGAGGAGGGTCTGCAATGGCCATTTTCTTGATATCTGCCCTTGGCAACTTTTTCTGAGTCTTAGTCTTTTCTTCTGCAAAATGGATTAATAGTCATGCTTTCCTCTGTGAGTGGATGAGTGAGAATGGATGTGGAACGCAATGTGCTTTGTAATCTTTGTAGGGTGTGTATGACTTGGAGGGGCCCTGGTGGCTGGGCACAGCTCTGGTGGGCGCCTCTTGAGCCAGCAGGGCAAAGGCAACTCATGGGGGCCTCTTCCTCCTCCCATCTTTCAGTGACTGACACAAATGTATTCCCCAGTGACTATCCCAATGACCCTGACTGTGTCCAGGAGCCAGTGACCTTGAGGCCCTTGGGAACTCTGTGAGATCAGCCACATCACAATGTTCTTCTCCTGAGTTGCGCCTGGGCTTTGGGGGGCTGGGGGTGGGGAAGAGAGGTGGGGAAGACGGGGTGGACAGGACAGTTCTGCCCAGAGTATTAAGTCTGATCCTCGGAGACCAGAAATGTGACACTAGATCCCGGCTGCTGCAGACAAACCGAACCCCCCTCTGGACCCCATCTGCCTGGGATTCAATGCTCCTGGATGGGTATGGGGTTCCAGTGACATCACAAGTCACATGAAGGGGTGGGGGGCTCAAGCTGTAGAGTCTCATCCTGCTCTCCATTCTGAACAAAAGGTCAGGGAAAATGCCAGGATCAGGCTACTCACATCAATCCCGGGCTTCCCGTCGGGCCCGTCGGGCCCCGCTTTGCCAGGCTCCCCCTTGGGTCCCTTGAAGACCGAGATGGAGCAAATATTAGCTAGAGGAGGGCAAGAACTGGAAAAGTCAAAGGTCAAAGAAGAAAAAGCACTCACCGGAGGGCCAGCTTTCCCAGGGGGCCCCTTGTCACCCTGCAAGATACAAGTTAGTGAGACAGCGCGCTCTGGCTCAGGCTACCCCAAGTGGGCACACACAGGCCCTGGCTGGTCCCACGTGACTTTCTCCTCACTCTCCTCTCCTCTGCTCCGTCGGATCCTCTGTCCTGGCCTCCCTCAGCCTTGCACTTTTAAGAAACCAGCTCCATTTATCTCTCAAAAAAAAAAAAAAAAAAAAGTCATAGGTTGACTGAGACCAGCCCCTGCCACGCAGGAGAGGGTGATAGCGACCAGGCTTTAGACATGCAGTGCTGGTAAGGTGCTGATTGTGAGACCGGCAAATGATCTTGGAGAGCTGGTGCCTCTTAGATTTGGGCAAGTGTGGGAAGAAACTTTTAGAAAAACACCAAGGGGAAGTGAGTGGAGTAAAGAGACTGGGGTGGGGCAAAGGGGGCCTCTGAAGGGGGCAGATTTAAACTTCCCAAGGCAGGAAGGACCTCCTTTTTCTGGTGACAAAGGACCCTTGGTGGAGGACAGGCAGAGCCAGGACTCAGATTCAACCCCAGAGAGGCCTCCAGGCATCTCAGGGCCTGCAGCAGCCAGGGAGCTGGCACGGACCCAGCGCCCTGTGTTTGGGAGTGGGAGAACCAGGCTGAATAGAAGTCTGTCCAGATGGGTAAACATGGAGCGGACCTCCTGGGGGAGCCTGCTGAATGAGGTATTTAACCCTCACCATGCTAGGGAGATCAGGCAACAAGCCCAGCTAGTTCTAAATCGGGGAAAAAAATGCAAAAGGAAGAGACAGGAGTCTGGCCCCAGCTGGTCAGCGGTCTGGCCAAGGCTCCCAAATTACCCTGAAGAAGCATCCAGACATGCCAGTGGGCATGGCAAAGGGTTAAGGCATCTCCCACCTTAGAAAGGAGGGGAAGGGGATAATCACTGTGAGCTGTGGCGGGTGGACAGCACAGCACAGCAGCTCCTTGTCCGTGAGCAACTATAACGGGCTCTGCATCTGGCTGGTCTGAGGTTTTTGCAGAACAAACAGGTTCCTTGTGGTGCGGGCCGGCGCTGCCTAGTGGCAACAGGGGGCACTGCACCCCCAGAAACCCACCCACCCTCTTCCTGCCCCAAAGCTCACAAAGTTCCTCTTTGTCCGCAGTCTCCCTCCCCCTTCAGTCCCCGGTTAGAGACTCACGTCGATGCCGTCGGATCCAGGCACTCCCGGCGGCCCCGGGGGCCCCGGGGGGCCCCGCTCTCCTGGCGGACCTCTCTGAAAACACACAGGGTGTGCAGGTTTCAGTTAGTGGAGGGGGCTGGGCATCCCAGAGGTGCACCTCCGCCAGAAAGCCAGCTCCGTAGGGAGCAGCAAACTCCCGTTTATTGAGAACCTACAGTGTATCAAGTACTGTGTACCATTACATATAGGATATTACTGAACGCTCAGAGCTGCGAGGCAGATACTATTACGAGCCCCAAAGTGCAATTGAGGGAACAGACTCAGAGATTACGAATGATCACAGAGAGTAGGTGGTGGAGCCAGGATTCCTCTGTACCACGCTGCCCTTGCGATGTCGCGGTGAGGAATAGATGGAGGTGCTGATGGCTCAAATAAGACAGACAGTACAATGAAGGGGTGCTGGCATTATTTTTTAGATGACCAACAGGTATGGATGGTGAGTCGGACCCCCTCACCTCCCCCTGGTAAGGGTAAAACCTGAAGGGAAAGTGAGGAAGGCTGGGGGGAGGTGTAGAGAGGGGAAGCCTGTTCTCTCCTCCCACTCAAAACACCCCTCTACCAGCAGCGCTCCTCCATCCTCCCTGGGCTGGCCTTCTTGTGGGAGCCAGCCCGGACCCACGCAGGGGCTCCGTGCGTGCCGGATGCCCGCGCCCTCCCTAGGCTGGGCCCCCGCTGGAGAGCTGAGAGGCGAACAGGGCACCAGATGGCGCCCGGGCCCTGCCCCTCTGCGCCCGCGTCCCGTTAGATCCCCAGCCCCCAGGTGCCCTCGGAAGTGACAGTCGCCGAGCCAGAGTGGCGTCTGGCTGGAGCCGGCGCCCCCTGGGAGGCGGCGGGGGCTGAGCTCCCGAGCCCCTTGAATGGGCACCATTGTCTCCTCCGCCACCTGGGTTCTCGGGGCTGCCAGGACCCAGCGCCAGCTCCTGTTCCACGCTGCTGGTCCTGGCAGGGCCGAGCATCTCGGGACAGGGTCTCCCTGGCTCCCCGGCTCATCCACCTCCTTTCACGGCGCGGGAATGCGCCCTATATGTACGCTACCGAGGTGACCTGTGTCGCGAAACTGTCCCAAGCGGCCCCTCGGGCTAGGGAGTGTCAGTATAGGATGGGAGACAGCCAAAGCCCGTCTCCAGACTGCTCCCTGGGCGTGTGAGCCGGACCCCAGACCCTGCGCCCCGGACCCGGCGCGGGAGTGGCCGCGGGACTTACGATCTGCGCGAGGGCGAGCCCGAGCACCTGGAGCAGGACGAGGAGGCCGCGGGGGTTGGCCGCGGCGGCCATGGCAGCGGCGGGTTGAGCGGACACGGGGGCCGGGGCCACGGACGCACCGACGGCTGAGCTCCGCGCGCGGCGCCGGCTCCTCTCGACGCAGCGGGCCCGGCCCTCAGAATATGCATCGGGGCGGGGCGGGGGGCCCGCGGGATCCGTCACCTGAGACGACCGGGGGAGGGAAGCCGATGCCCTCCGCCCAGCTCCGCCCTGCTCGCCCGGCCGCCTCACCCACCCACCTTCCATCCTCGTCCCGGCCTTCCCGGAGGCCCCAGCCCTGTAACCCGAGGAACCGCGCAGTGCAGGACCGAGACCAGGGCCCTGCTTCTGTTTGAGGCGGTAGAGGGCCGTCAAGGTTCCCCTCCAGCCTGACCTCCAGGGCCCAGCACCTTCACCCTGGCCTGCAGCCCGCGCCCCATCACTTGCCCCAAGTCCTCAGCCACTTCTGCCTGGGAGCCTGGCTCAGTCCTTTCTCCGCGCAGAGTGGGCCTCAGAACCTCCTAGCAGGCTCTGCACAGCCCCCACGCACCTCGTTCCTCTCCACGCACACACAAGTAGGCCTCTTTCATATTAAAACACCCCGAAGCCCTTCCTGGATCAGTCATCCTTTTAATACCCATCCTCCTCCCCCCTCTTGTTCACTGCTAACTCTATTGGAGCTGTCTGCCACCCACCTCCAAACCTCCTCCTCTCCCTCTCACCTCCCTGCCTCTGCCTCAGCTGGGGGTCCAAACATGCTGTTGGTACCTGGGCTGACCCTTAGCCATTCTATCCTTGAAGTTCTCCGTCCAGCCTTCCACCACTAGCCCCTCTTCTTCCATTGCCTTTCTTCCCTGCAGCTCCCTTAAGTACCTGAGTCCCTAGGACTGGATCTTCTCACTCACTAGGCACTATCTCCTCCATGTTCATGGAAACCACCACCAGCGTATATGCCAGAGTTTCCATAACCTACCTGTCCATCATCACCTCTCTCCAGAGCCCTCACCTTCCCTTTCGTTCACTTAAGCAGTATTGGTAAAGTGCTTAGGAATCTGACTCCGTTGGCACATAAAACTATGTGAAGTCTCAGTTTCCTTATATGTAAAAGGGAATAATAATAATATCTTGCAGGGTTTTTGTGAAGATTGAATAAGATGATACATGTGAAATGCTTAACCTGGCACCAGCACATAGTAGGTGCTTGATACTTAAAGCTAAATTTTACGATTTATTGAGGATCCTCTGTTTACCAGGCCTGCACCCAATATGGGGAAGATGACCACAAGCAGATCAGCCAAAATAGTCAAAGAGAAAACCCTGGAATCTAGAGCAGCCCAGCTCCAGGGGGCATGTTGGCAAAGGTCCCTGGGCTTTGAATGGTGTTTCTAGGGTTGAGTTCGGGAAAAGGGGCTTGAGAGAATTTTGTTGGTCTGCCTTACAAAGTGAGGAAGAATTTGGAGTTAGTAGGAAGTAAGATGAGAGGAGGAGGACGAGGAGGTGAGAGAGGGATGATGGGCATTGCCTGGGTGGGTGGGTAATATGTGTAAAGGGTTTCTAAGAAATAGGATATCCAAAGTTGATGGTTTTATGTTGTTCATGTCTTCATCTCTTTGTGGGCTGAATACACAAAGGCTTTGTGTAAGTTTCCTTTTTGTGTGTGGAAACTATGGAAAAAGGATGAGTTTCACAACTGAACAGCACACATTAGTATGCTAGTTGTCTATTGCAGCACAGCAAATCACCAAAAACATAGTGGCTTAAAACAACAATTTCTTGGATCAAGTATTCAGAAATGGCTGTGCTGGTTGGTGCTGACTCAGGGGTGTAAGGAAGGTGCAGGCAGGTGGTGGCTGGGCTGGCATCATCTAGAAGCCTTCTTCACTCCCATGTCTGGTGCCTGTACTGCAAAGCCTCCGATAGCTAGGGCTGAACAGCTGGAATTTCCTGGGCAGCTCTCTCCTTTATCTCTTTGTGAGCTTTCCACGGAGTAAAATCAGCATGGTAGCTGAAATTCTCACACAGCAGCAGCTCCGAATGAGAGGGGGAGAACACCAGACAGAAACAGAATTGCCTCTCAGGACCTAGCCTCAGAAGTTACACAGCATCAATGTCACCACTTTCATTTGGTCCGGGCAATTACAAAAGTCTGCCTAAGCTCAAAGGGAGGGAATAGAGGTCTCACCTCTTGATGGGCAAACATCGATATGACATTTCAAGAAGAACTTGGAGGATGGGACATAGATTGGTGCAGCGAATGCAACCTTCCCCATTTGGAAGTCCCCTCCCCCCCTTTATTGATTTTAGAGAGAGAGGAAGGGAGAGGGGGAGAGAGAGAGAAACATCAGTGAGAGAGAACATCTATTGGCCACCTTCTGCATGCCCCCCACTGGGGATTGGGCCCACAACCTGGGCATGTGCTCTGTGAATCAAACCGGCAGCCTCTTGGTACATGGGTTGATGCTCAACCACTGAGCCACACTGGCCAGGCCAACCTTCCTCACTTGAATTTATGACCTGAATCAATTCAGTGGAATTTGAGCTGAAGCTCAAAGCCGGAGCTGACTAAGAGAAATCTTATGGAAGAAGTGGACTAGATCATCCAGCCAGTTGAATACAGCTCTTAAGGAGCAGAGAGACCTGAATAAATAGAGTCCTCTATCCACAGTACTGGATAGGAAGCCTCAATATTGCAAAGATGTGAAATTAATCTAGAAACTCCATGCAATCCCAATCAAAATCAATGCAGTTTTCACGAAACTTGACAAACGGATTCTAAAAAGAATCTAGGAGAGAAATGGCATGAAAATAGCCAAGAAATCTTGGAGGAAAAAAATGAGAAAGGTCTTTCCCTACCAAAGATCAAAACATAGTACAAAGTGAATTATTCAAATAGTGTTTTACCAGCCCAGGAATAGATAGATTAAGAGAGAGCGAGAGAACACACACATTTATTACATATATTTAGTCTATGATAAAAGTCTATATATTTAGTTTATGATAAAGTTTAAGTTTAAGATAAATGAGGAAAGGATAGACCAGTTAATGAATGTTGAGGCACTTGTATATACATTCAGAAAAAAATTTAAGTTAGATTTCTATATCAGCATACACAAAATATACCCCTGGACAAATTAATTGAGGGCCTAGATGTAAGAATAACAAACTACAAAAATCTAAAGGAAATATTTTTATAATTTTGTGGTAAGAAAAACTGTTCTGTACAATATACAAAACCATGGAAAGATGTTTAAATTTGACTTCAAGACACTTTAAAAAGTGTCTTTGTAATAAAAACGCATAGCCCTAGTCAGTTTGGCTCGGCAGTTGGAGAGTTGGCCCGTGGACCGAAGAGTTGTGGGTTCAATTCCCTGTCAAGGACGAGTACCTTGGTTGCAGGTTCGATCCCCAGTCGGGTTCGTGAGAGAAGTAACCAATCAATGTCTTTCTCTCTCTCTCTCTCTCTCTCTCTCTCTCTCTCTCTCTCTCTCTCTCCCATTCCCCTCCCTCCTTTTCACTCTATCTAAAAACCAATGGACAAATATCCTTGAGTGAGGGTTAACCAAAATATATGTATATATTAGCAGACTGAATATAGCAATCTATTAAAGATACATCATGACCAACTTGGTTTTATACCAAGAAAGTAGGATGTTTGAAAATGAGCAAATCTGTTACTATCACTCACCACGTTATTAAAGAAGAGAAGCTTAAGATGATCTCAAAGATGCAAAAAAGACAAACAAAAACACCACTCAAATGGCTGCTCTTGTTGTTCCTCCTACCATAGTAATTTCCTCTGCAAGAACAAGCCTGACTATGTGGCCCTAGAAGCCAAGTCCTGGACCAGAGAGAAGATTGCCCCCACACCTACCAGCCCCATCTCTCCTGAAGAACTGGGAGCCTGGAAGTAGCCTCCCTTCAGACTAGAACAAAAAAGTAGAGGGAAGAAAAATGTCCCTTCTGTTTCCTTCTCACCCAAATTAATTCAAAATTTCTTTTATTTCTTTCAATAAAATTTAAAATTTTAATCATAGAGATAGTTCATGTTAAGCTGAGATAGAGTTTGTCTGATTCATCTCTGTGCTCCCAAACTGCAGATGTCCACAGATTTCTGAATGACCAAGTGACATATCACAGAATCAACCCACAACGTACATTGGATCTGAGGGTTGACATTTCTCTCGGGACCCTCCCTACCATGCCCTCTCTCAGAGGTAGGTTTTCAGGGTTTAGTTCAGAGTGATGGGTTCAGTGCTCTTACAGCTGTGTCAGCCTCATAGTGTGAGGAAATCATTAAATGACATAATCATAAAGAGTGGCTAGGGCCCTGGCCGGTCTGGCTCAGAGGTTAGAGCGTCGGCCTGCGGTCCAGAGACACCCAAGTTCGGTTCCCTCTAAGGGCACGTGCCTAGGTTGCAGTTTGTCCCCGGCCCTGGTTGGGTCGTGTGGGTGGCAGCCACTCGATGTGTCCCTTTCACGTCGATGTTTCCCTCTTTCTCTCTTCCTCCCACTCTACCTGAACAAAATACAGAAAAATGTCCTCGGGTGAGGATAAAAAAAAAAGAGTGGCTAGGAACTATCACTTATCAATAATAACACTTATCATTTATATATTTATATTATCATAATTATATCATAATTATTGCTGAGCACTTGCAATATGACATGTTGTACTCACGTGTTATATGCATTTTGTCAAGTCCTCACAGCCACTCAGTGATGCAGGGCCTGTGATTATCTCCATTTTATATACAAGAAGACTGAGGCTTAGAGGAATGAAATCGTTTCCCCAAGGACACGCAGCTGTTATTTCCACTGTTTCTGACTCTCGGTAGGTACCAGTAATGTGCATTTCCTCCCTTTCCCACTAAGACCACAGCGTAATGCTGAGCAGTTCGGCTCTGCATGAAAACGGACGGCAGCTGTTGTTTTGCTGGTCCTATCCCTCTTAGAGAAGAATTCTTAGAACCTTTCTTGACTTGAGGGCTGGGCCACTCCAGTATACAATCCCCAGACCTCTATGCTCTAACCTTTCAATCTCCTGATCCTTTCTCCCCAACTCTGATAGGAAGGAGAGCTGGATGTAGAGGGCAAGTAGAAAAGGCAGCCGACCTGTTTCCCTCGGTTCCCCTCGGAGTCCTCTGTTCCTCGCCCGGTCCAACTCCTGGTCAGCAGTAAAGCAGGCTCTCTGGGACTCTGACGCCACCTAATGGTCATCTTCTGCAGCACACCATGCTGACAAACGAAAGTCCCTTTCTCATGGAGAAATTAAGGAGATGAAATGGGGAGAGAAGACAAAAAGCTCTGTGGAAACTCACCACGGGAAAGATCATGGCTTCTGGGGAATTAGAGCTTAAGATCTGTATTCAGCTCTACTTGGATCCCGATTCTATCACATTCTATTGTGTGATCCTGGGCAAGTCGCTTCACCTCTTTGAGCATGCCTCTTGATGTCCATGAAGTACCCAGCAAGCTTTGAATATTTTATTTTATTTTATAAATATGTTTTTATTGCTTTAGAGAGAAAGGGAGAGAGAGATAGAAACATCGATGTGAGAGAGAAACATGATAGGCTGCCTCCTGCCTCCTACTGGGGATGGAGCCCAAAACCCAGGCAAGTGCTCTGAGGGGGAATCAAACCTGGACCTCTCAGTCCATGGGAGGGCGCTCAATCCACTGAACCAGCTGGCAAGCTTTGAATATTTTAGGTAGAAAGAGCTTTGTAAGCAAAGGCAGGGAACAGGGAAATGTTCGGAACACAGGGTAAGTGGCATGCTTCCTCTTCTCTGCTGGGAAGAGGGTTAGTCCCATTGGAGCAAGGGGGGGGGCAAGAATAGCACAGTGAGGGGAGCTGGAACCCCCTCTTGAAATCAGCTGCCCATTCTAGGCTGAGCCCCAGTCCTAAGCAGGTTTGCCTACCTGGACTTAGGCCGCCCTCACATGCCTGGGCAGAAAAGACAACCACTCTGTTCCCTTCTCAAGCTACAGCAGAGCTCCTCCAAACTCCTCTGCTCTGCCCAATCCTGATCCTGGTTCCATCTACCCCGTTGGTTCCATCTGATTCTTCCCCAGTTCCGATGTAACATTGATAAACTATAGTGTGCTGGCTTCCTCGAGCTATTTTCTCTTGGTTTCCTCTCACACTTCTACTCTTCTTTCTCATGCTTTTCTTTTCTCTGAACATGCTTATCACTCCAAAGGGTCCTGTCCTGTCAGAATTTTTTTTACTACCCATGTTCTTCCTGGGTGATCTAACCCACCCCACTGACTTTGACTATCACCCAGATGTTTTCCCCAGGGCCTCAAACCCACTATCCAACTGCCTCCGGTATGTGCCCCAGGCACCACAATTGATATATCCAAAATGAAACTATCTGCTTGCCCCCAAACCTGGTCTTCCTGTGTTGACTACATAGCCAATGGTCCCACCTTCCGCCCTGTTGCTTAAGCCAAAAATATGGGTGTCAGCCATGACTCTTCCGCCTCTCCTCCCCCAGAAGTATTATCACCACTTCCAGTCACTATGCCTCATACATGTTTATCTAATCCGCCCACCTCTCTCCCTCCCGCGGTGACTCTGGGCACCATCCTCTTTTGCTTGGATTATTACAACTGTCTCTGAATTTGACTCTGCCTCAGTTTTGCCTCTTGTTTTCCCTTCTGGGTGCTCTAGAGGAGAGCCCATTCCCTAGCTTCTCTACCTTCTAGAGGCTTTCCATATTTCTTGGTTCACGACTCTCTTCCCTTCCTTCATCTTCAAAGCCAGAACAGTTACCTCTGTCTGACCATTCTTCCACAGTCAGGTCTCCCTCTGCTTCTCTCTCGTTTCCCTCTTCCACTGTGAAGAACCCTGTGAGTGCACTGGACCCACCTGCATAGCCCAGGATAATATCTCCATCCCACAACCCTTAACCTAATTGTATCTACAAAGACCCTCTTGCCATGTAGTGTAACACATTCACAGATTTAGGGGATTAGGACATGGACATCTTTGGAGGGCCATTATTCTGCCTCCCAGAGGCCTCTCTCTGCACCTCCCCCAAACATTGGTGTCCGTTGTACATGCAAAATACATTCACCTCATTTCAAAAAGTCCCTCCAAAGTCCCAGCCCATTAAATTATCAACTCAAAGTCCAAAGTCTCATCTAAATCCCACCAGCTCAAAATGCCCAAATCCCATCATCTAGCTCATCTATATTAGGTATTGGATGAGATTAGTATAATCTGTCCTGGGGTGGAGTTCCTCTCCATCTGTGACCTGTGAATCTAGAAAACAAATTGCTCCCCAAATAGATGGTAGGACTGGCATCGGAAACCAGGTATAGACTTTCCCTTGCAAAAACGGAGGGGAGAGGGGGAATTGAAGAAATAAAGGAGTTACCAGTCCCAAATAATTTCAAAATTAAATTGGACCAACTCCATTAGGTTTCAGGCCTAGGGATACTAATATTTTGTGGCTGGCTGTCCTTGGAGTCCTTGGAGTTATTTTTCCTTTTTCATGAAACATAGCACCTGTCTTCATTCTGTTTCTTACCGGTAGAATTTTGTGGGTCCATCTTGCAGCCTTCTTCTTTTTTTTTTTTTTTTGGTACATGCCCCTAGCGGGAACCAAACCCAGGACTCTCTGGTCCGCAGGCCTAACCCTCCAGCTGCTGAGCCAAACTGGCCAGGGCCTTTTTTTTTCCTTTTCTTTTATTTATTGTTTAGAGAGACAGGAAGGGAGAGGGAGAGGGAAATGTAAACGTCGATGAGAGAGAACATTGATTGGCCGCTTCCTGCATGCCCCCCACTGGGAATCTGGCCCACAACCTGGGCATGTGCCCTGGAACCGGCGACCTCCTGGTGCATAGGTTGATGCTCAACCACGGAGCCACACCAGCCAGGCTTGCAGCCTTCTTTTTTTTCTCTATCCCTTTCTGTCCAAGTTCCACTGTTCTTCCTGGTATAAAATTTTCAAGAACCTTGTGGGTCTCTCATGTATGTCCCAGAGTTCATGCCATTAGACAAGAGGCTCCTTCATGACCTTTCTTAAATCCATTTCTATTTTTGCCTTCTGTTGTAATAGCTGAGGGAATCTATGAGTCACATGCTTAATCTCTTCAAAAAGTGTTTTATGCCCTGGCCGGTTTGGCTCAGCGGTTAGAGCATCGGCCTGCAGTCCAGAGAGACCCGGGTTCGGTTCCCGCTAAGGGCACGTACCTCGGTTGCAGTTTTTCCCCGGCCCTGGTTGGTTGTGCGGGTGGCAGCCACTCGATGTGTTCCTTTCATGTCGATCTTTCTCTCTCTCTCTCTTTCTTCCTTCCACTCTACCTGAACAAAAAATGGAAAAATGTCCTCGGGTAAGGATTAAAAAAAAAAGTGTTTTATGTCACTGAAAAGTTGGACATTTTGACCTCATAGAGATATTAGCAAAAGCTTGTCCAGCCACAGCCTTAGCTTTCTCTGAAGTACTTTCCTCACAGTGAATCTTTTCATTTTACTATCATTGGCAATCTAGACAGGCAGAGAATTCCCCAAATCATTAAGTCCTGGTTCCTTTTGTTTGACAGTTTTCTCAATTTGTCGATGTCCCCTCTCATTTGACTCTCAGCAGCAAGGTGAAATCAGACCACACCCTTCAGCACTTGGCTTGGAAAACTCCTCAACTAAATAACTAAGGTCATTGTTTATAAGGTCTGCTTTCCACATCACTGCAGGGCTCACGATTAGTCTAAGCTTTTGCCACCGTGTGACAAGGTCCCCTCCTCCAGTTTCCAGTCACATGTTCCTGTTTCCCTCTGAGCCCTCAGAGGCAGCGCCTTTCACATCCGTATTTCTACCAAGACTGTTCAATGACTTAGGTATTCTCTAAGTTGACATGTTTGTTTTTAAAAAAATTTTTTTCTTTATTTATTTTAGAGAGAGAGGAAGGGAGAGGGAGAAACATCGATGAGAGAGAACATTGATTGCCCGTCTCCTGCACGCCCCCCACTGGAGATCCGGCCCACAGTCTGGGCCTGTGTCCCGACCAGGCGACCTCTTGGTGCGTGGGTCGATGCTCAACCACTGAGCCACACCGGCTGGACGACATGTTTCTTTACCATGCTCCTCACTTCCTTCTGAGCTCCCACTGGTGGTCATTAACATCCATATTTCTACTAATAAGTCTGTTGAAGGTGATCTAGGCTTTTTCTGTGATGCTTCTCCAAGTTTTCCCTGCCTCTTTCCACTGCCCTATTCCAAAGTCACTTCCCCACAGTCGGGTATTTGTTACCTAAATCTGTATCAGTTTTCTATTGCCACAGGAACAAATTACCACACATTTAGTGGCTTAAAACTATATGTGTCAGAAATCTGACACTTGTGTAAAATCAGGCTGTGAGCAGAGCTGTGTTCCTTTCTGGAGGCTCTTGGGAAGAGTTTATCTCCTTTTCTTTACTACCTTCTAAAGGCTTCCCACATTCCTTGGCTTATGGCCTCATTCTTCCATTTTTGAAGCCAGCAACAATGCATTTTCCTGACCGTTCTTCCACAGTAGAATCCCCCTGCCTCTCTCTTCTGTCCCTGTCTCCCTTCCCCCCCATTTCTAAGGATGCTTGTGATTACACTGAGCCCATCTGATTAATCTAGGAGAGCCTTAATTTAACTACTCCTGCCAAATCCTTTTTGTCATGTAAGGTAACGTATTCACAGGTTCCAGGGATTAGGATGCAGACATCTTTGTGGTGCTTCTCCAAGTTTTCCCTGCCTCTTTCCACTGCCTTATTCCAAATTTTCTGTCCACCACACTCCTCCAAATTTTAGCCAGGATGGTCTCTCCAAACAAACTCAGTCCTGTCAGTCCATGCTGTGAAATAAGTCACAGAAAAACAAATGTCAACTGATATCACTTGCACATGGAATCTAAAACAAATCAACTTCACAGATACAGAGAACAGATGGATAGTTGCCAGAGGTAGGGGCTGGGAGGGGTGGGCAAAACGGGTGAAGGGGACCAAAGAATACAAACTTCCAGTTATAAAATAAATGTCATGGGGATGATTGTATGTGACTGTAGTTAACTGTACAGCACTGTGCTGCTTATTGGAAAGTCGCTAAGAATGTAGATCTTAAAAGTTCTCATCACAAGAAAAAAATTTTTTGTAACTGTATGGTGACAGATATTATCTAGGCTTGTGGTGATCATTTTGTTTTGTTTTTATTCCTCACCCGAGGATATTTTTCTACTTATTATCAGATAGAGTGGGAGGGAGCCCTGGCTGGTTTGGGTCAGCGGTTGGAGCGTTGGCCTGCAGACCAGAGTCCCAGGTTCGGTTCCCGCTAGGAGCACATACAAAAAAAATAATGGAATCTAGTTGCCTTAGCCTCAGAGCCCAGGTCTAGAAAAACATCTATATGACATCGATTGGCTGTCTCCCACACAACCCCAACCAGGGCCAGGGACCAAACCTCAAACCCCAGTGTGTGCCCTTGACCTGAAATCAAATCCAAAACCTTTCAGTTTGGGGGCAGATGCTCTAACTGCTGAGCCAAACGGGCCATGCATGACTCCCTCCTTCTTTTTTTCCCATTTAAAAAAATTCTCACCGCCCTGGCCTGTTTGGCTCAGCGGATGGAGCGTCAGCCTGCGGACCAGAGAGTCCCGGGTTTGATTCCCACTAGGGGCATATACCAAAAAAAAAAAAAAAAAAAATTTAAATTAAAAAACCCTCACCTGAGGGTATTTTTCTATTTATCTTCAGATAGAGTGGGAAGGAGAGAGAGGGAGAGGAAGGAGAGAGAGAGAAACATCGAAGTGAGAGAGACATATTGATTGGTTGCCTCCTACACGACTCTGACCAGGGCCAGGGATGAACCAAAACTGAGGCCCGGGACTGGAATCGAACCCATGACTCATTGGTCCGCAGGCCGACGCTCTACCACTGAGCCAAACCTGCCAGGGCTCCCTCTTTCTTTTTAATACCTGTTATCTATTGTGCATAACAACATAACACATCCCGCCAATGAAGGACATTGACATCCCTTCCAATTTTTTTGCAGCCACCAATGCGTGTTCTCTGATCCGTGTGTTTTCAGGGGCAGTGCCTCCCCCACCAAACTGAAGTTTGTTTGCTCAGCTTGTCCCCTTGCTTGGCCACTATCTTGCCTTCTAGATAAGCCCTGCTGTTTCCCAGTCTTTGTGATTCAGTCAGGAACAGGCAGAGAGAGCAGCCCGGAGGGGCAGGAGGCCAAGGGGAAGGAAATGGAAGATTGAGACCCTCACATTTAGGGGTTTGGCCCGGGAGAGGTCAGGAGATCAGGGAGAAGCGCAGCTCCCGAGAAAGGTCACCGCTCCCTGAAAAGCAAGATCAGAATTCCTCTCTCCTGGCTGTGATGTGTTTGAACGTGACTGCAGTGGAGACTGGGCTGTTTGGAGTCCCAGGATGTGTTAGGATCACACGAACCATGCGCTGTGAAGGCCACTGAATGTGCGTCTTCAGGTGTTTCTGCTATGATTGGTGCAGGGTTTGTCCCCAGAGGAGGAGATGTTTGGTCAGTAGCATGTTCATTTAAATATCACCCCCCAAATGTCTCAAAAAGCTTTCCAAAAAGTTTGCAACCAACTTACACTCCCACTACTGTCTACGAGCTGGGCCGTTTTTCTGCAGCCTTGCCAACTAGTGCCAACCTTATCCGTCTTTTATGTGCTTGCTACTGTGGTGGGCAATAATGTGCCACAGCCCAGTCATTTCTCTTCCTTTCGCCATTAGGGAAGTCGTACAAGACATTTTGATCTCGTTGACATTTTCACTCTGTGTTTATGAATATAAATGTTTTCATCAGAGTCACACCAAGGGTGTTACAGACCTAATGCCTTCAACAGCTCTCATTTTCCTTCCAGCAAATTGCCCAAAGCTATACCACAAGCAGCAGAATTAGGTTTTGTGGATGAAAAGGGGCCACATATTAACCTGACAAGTTCAGAGAAGGCCTGCGGGGTGGTCTTACTAACTCAGAGACCTAAAGTAACCACAGAGGATGATCTGAAATGAAAACATTAACTAAAAGCAGTTTATGGCAGGTAGTCATGTCCTAGGCTAGACTCTTCCCTGACAAAAGCCAGTCTCTACCTTCATGAAGCCTATCTCTTGACATTTTGCATCACTGATAGCATAGCTTTGGAATGTCAAAGTCATTTTCCTTTTTCTTGACCCCTTCAAAGCACAGGTATTGCACCGGAGCAGAGACCACAAATCCCCTCATCGTTATTGAGTTAATTGTTGATGGTTAACTATCCTGTACCCACCTCTGTAAAATAAATATGTGTCTATCATTTTACTTTTCATCCAATCCCAGAGGTTCCCCGCCCTTGCTTTCTCCCACCTCCCTAATCTACCACCAATGGGTTTCATGTAATCCACCTAACGTCTTCTCTTTTGATTGTAATGTATAAACTAAGGTGCAAAACTGCCATTCTCTGGAGCATTATTTCAGTCCATTGAGATTTTGCTTCCCAGGAATTGTTGACAGTTTGGCTCAAATAAACTCACAAAAATTCTTCACAGATTTGAATGTTTCTTACACTGACAGTTTGGCAATCAGCTCTCCTGAATCCCAGCCCCATGATATTTCCACGAAGCCATGCTGACCCACCAAGGCTGCCTGAGGATGGAACACCTTGGCTGTTTTGGCTCAGCGGTTGGAGTGTCAGCTTGCGGAGCAGAGAGTCCGGGGTTCAGTTCCTGCTAGGGGCACGTATCAAAAAAATAAAATAAAAAACAAACATGCTCTTATTTCAAGGTCTTCTTTTTTTATTTTTTTTATTTTTTTATTTTTTTATCCTCACCCGAGGACATTTTTTTTTTGTTCAGGTAGAGTGGGAGGGAGAGAGAGGAAGAGAGAGAGAGAGAGAAACATCGATGTGAAAGGGACACATCGAGTGGCTGCCACCCGCACAACCGACCAGGGCCGGGGACAAACTGCAACCAAGGTACATGCCCTTAGCGGGAACCGAACCCGGGTCTCTCAGGACCGCAGGCTGATGCTCTAACCGCTGAGCCAAACCGGCCAGGGCAAGGTCTTCTTTTTTTAGATTCCAAGTTTCCTATTAAACCCCTCTGAAAGAATAGGGCGTGTCACCATTCTATTCCACTTATTTATTTATTTTTATTCCTCACCCGAGGATATTTTTCTATTTATCATTAGAGAGAGTGGGAGGGAGGGATAGAGACAGAGAGAAACATCGATGTGATAGAGCCACACCGACTGGTTGCCTCCCGCATGACCTGACCAGGGCCGGGGATGAACCACAACTGAGGTACGTGCCCTTGACCGGAATTGAACCCATGATTCATTGCTCTGCGGGCCGACGCTCTAACCACTGAGCAACTGGCCAGGGCTTATTTATTTCTTCTATAGAAGTTTATTTTTGGGTGTTCAGTACAGAGACTGCAACAGTGAAAGTGATGTTTAGGCTGCAACCTGTCGATAAGCAGAAACACATTGGATGTTCCCTCGAGTGTTTTGTGCAGGCCATTAATTTGGCACCCACTTAAGCCAGTATTCTTTAAATATTTATCCAAAATTTATTTAGCAGAGAAGATAGATACTATATAAGAGAAGGTTGGAGCCCTGGCCGGTTTGGCTCAGCAGTTAGAGCGTCAGCCTGCGGTCCAGAGAGACCCGGGTTCGGTTCCCACTAAGGGCACGTACCTCGGTTGCAGTGTGTCCCCGGCCCTGGTTGGGTCATGCGGGTGGCAGCCACTCGATGTGTCCCTTTCACGTCAAAGTTTCTCTCTCCCTCTCTCTCCCTCTCTCTCCCTCCTGCTCTATCTGAGCAAAAAATGAAAAAATGTCCTCGGGTGAGGATAAAAAAAAAGAGAGAGAGAGAGAGAAGGTTGGAGAGGGAGGCCCGCGGGGGAAGGATTCTCTTTCTCTTTCATTATCCTAAGCAATTCAGTTCTGGCCTCAAACTTGCAAAACAAAAGCTCTGCTATTAGCTAGACTCACTATTGCTCATTGGAAGTTAGTGTGTCACTAGCTCCCTGGCCGGGTAGCTCATTTAATTAGAGTGTCATCCTGATACACCAATGTTGTGTGTTCCATCCGCAGTCAGGGCACATACAAGAATCAACCAACGAATGCGTAAGTGGAACAACAAAATGATGCTCCCCCCCCCCTCACATCAATAATAAAAATTTTAAAAGCCAGTGGACATCATTTAAAAAAATAGCCCTGGCAGGTTGGGCTCAATGGTTAGAGCGTCGGCCCGCGGACCAATGAGTGGAGGGTTCAATTCTGGTCAAGGGTACGTACCTCGGTTGTGGTTCATCCCCAGTCCTGGTCGGGTCATGTGGGAGGCAACCAGTTGATGTGGCTCTATCACATCGATGTTTCTCTCTGTCTCTCTCACTCTATATATAAAAAAAAGAAGTTAGTTAGTTTGTTTGTTTGTTTGGTATGTACGCCTAGTGGGAACTGAACCCGGGACTCTCTGGTATTCAGGTGATGCTCCAACCACTAAGCCAAACTGGCCAGGGCAAGAAGAAGTTAGTCACTATCAGTGGTTACTTAGACAAACCCTGGGAAGTCCCAAATCCTCCATCCCCACTCAACATACAGTTATACACAGTATTCTTGAGAGGAATACACACACACACACGTATATATTTGTGCATTTTGTTTTATGTATGTTTCCAAGGTTTTCTCTTAAGATTTGGGGTCTGGATCTGTGTGGGTGCTAGCCCCTGAAGAGGAGGGATGAAGTGGGCATGAGGGGTGTGGAGTAAGGCACGGTCTTCCAGGCGAAAGGAACAGCAAATGAAGGCCCAGAGTGGGGGAGAATCTTGACTCTTAGAAGAACTAAAATTACATCTGGTTGGAGGGGAAAGAGGTGGAAGTCTGATGTCAGAGTTTTTTCTTCTGTTCTATATATTACATTAGAAAAGTAGTCAGACCTGGTATTTCTATCACACGTCATACTTTTCAAGATGTTTTTATGTCTGTTAGTATATATGTTTATATCTGTTATATCACTTTTATTTTTTATTTTTTATCCTCACCCGAGGACACTTTTTGATATTTTGTTCACCCGAGGACACTTTATGATATTTTGTTCAGATAGAGTGGGAGGGGAAGAGCGAGAGAGAGCAAGAGAAACATCGAGATTAGAGAGACACATCAATTAGTTGCCACCTGTACAACCCCAACCGGGGCTGGGGATTGAACCTGTAGCCCAGGTATGTGCTCTTGACTGGGAATCAAACCTGAGACTCTTTAGTCCACAAGCAGTGCTTTAACCGCTGAGCCAAACTGGCCAGGGCAAAGATCTGATTAAAAAAAATTTTTTTTTATCCTCACCGGAGGACATTTTTCCATTTTTGTTCAGACAGAGCAGGAGGGAAAGAGAGGAGGAGGAGAGAGAGAGAAACATTGATGTGAAAAAGTCACATCGAGTGACTGCCACCCGCACGACCCGACCAGGGCTGGGGACAAACTGCAACCGAGGTACGTGCCCTTAGCGGGAACTGAACCCGGGTCTCTCTGGACCGCAGGCCGACACTCTAACCGTTGAGCCAAACTGGCCAGGGCAAAGATCTGATTTTTTAAAGAGATGTTAATATACTACTGGTAGTTTTCCAGAAAAAAATATTAAACCAATTTAGACTTTTAATAACAATAAATGAAAATTCATATTTCTCCCTGGCTGGGTAGCTCAGTTGGTTAGAGCATCCTCCTGATATGCCAAGGTTGCAGGTTCGATTCCCCGTCAGGGTACACACAAGAATCAACCAATGAATGCAATAGGCTGATGATGGCAAAGCAGAATGGTAGAGCCTGGGTGCTGATGGCCTTGCCAGGTAGCTGAATCAATGTAAATAAGGGCTCTACCTCTGGATTTCTTGTTCTGTGAGAAAAATAAAACACTATTAAGCTACAATTAGTTGGGTTCTTTTTTTTTTTTTTTTTTTAATCCTCACCTGAGGACATTTTTGCATTTAGCAGGAGGGAGAGAACAAGGAAGAGAGAGAGAAAAACATCAATGTGAGAGAGACACATCAACTGTTGGCAACCCACACGACCCCAGCCAGAGCAGGGACAAACTGCAACAGAGGTACATGCCTTTAGTGGGAACCGAACCCGGGACTCTGTGGTCTGCAGGCCAACGCTCTAACCGCTGAGCCAAACTGGCTAGGGCTAGTTGGGTTTCTTAAGACCCTCCTACAAAAAGCAATTTGAATTTACAGAGAGTTGGACTTTCTGGGGAGGGCAGAAGAAGAGAAAAATCTAGAGGGACGCTCATCTGAGACTAACTTAGCATAGAGTAAAAACTGTCTCGACAGGAAATGTTTAGAAACATCTCTTAGAGACCCATAGGTGTTGATCATAGTAAGATTGTGGGTTTTTAAAATAGCAGGTTAAGCCTTGCTGGTGTGGCTCAATGGTTGAGTGTTGACCCATGCACCAAGAAGCCACCGGTTCGATACCTGGTCAGGGCACATGCCCAGGTTGTGAGCCTGATCCCCAGTGAGGTGGCCAATCGATGTTCTCTCTCATCGATGTTTCTATCTCTCTCTCCCTTTCCCTTCCTCTCTCTCTAAAATCACTAAAGGAAAAAAAAAAAAAAGGAGGTTAAACCTTGGCTGGTGTTGCTCAGTGGTTAGAGCGTTAGCCCACACCCAAGGATCTTGGATTTGATTCCCGTTCAAAGGCACATATGTACCTGGGTTGCAGGTTTGCCCGGTCGGGGCACATGCGTGAGGCAACCAATCAATATGTCTGTCTCACATCAATGTTTCTCTCTCTCTTCGCTCTCTCTCTTCCCCTGCCTTTCACTCTCTAAATATCAATGGAAAAAATGTCCTCTGGTGAGGATCAACAAACAAATAAATAAATACATAAATAAACACATAAATAAATATATAAATTAATAAATAAAATAGTTTAATAAAAATTTTTTAAATCAAAGCAAAATATGTACAGTTTATTTTATTTTTTACGAGAAGAAATGAATTTGCTGAATACATTGAGTAACATGGGTCCAAATATTAGCAGGAGCATGAAGATAATTATGAGTGCAGCAAAGGGAAATAAGAGGGAGAGACGCCCAGATTTAGTATTCCAGAGTCCCCAGTAGTCTGTATGTTGCTGCCCTTTCCAGGTATCTTGTATGTTTTATTGTCCCTGCCCTGATTTACTGATATAAAAGCAACCTTCTTCCTTCAGGTATAAACAGGTACCACCACCTGCTGTTGTAAGGAGGTCAAGAGCTCTTATAGTTTTAAGATTTCTCCTGTCTTGGTTAGAGCGGCAGCTGTCTCTTGGGATAAGCACTGTCGGAGTCCCAGTGAGGCTCCCCCAGGGGCAGGGCCAGCAAGGCCTCTGGGAGGACGGACGGGGGATGAGAGGCCCTGCTTGTCTATTTCAAGTGTCCTTTGGAAAGAGAGGAAAAGGGAGCTATCATTCCAGGCTTTGGAGATATCAGGGATGACACAGCCTAGAGAGCAAATACCTCTTCATCCGGGGCAAAGCCAGGTAGGCATGGGATCCAAGATCCAGTAAGCTCCCTTGGACCGGGGACGTTCTCCCGTTAATTGTATAGTCCTTTCCCCCAGGCATGGCTTCCCCTTCCCCTGGAGAATTTTGTGCCACAGAGTTGGAATCTCTGGGCTGCAGTTAGGGGTCAATTAGAGGGGATATAGAGATTGTTTAATTCTTTCAAGGAATAAGGAGCCCCGTTTGGGATCAAATTGTAGTGCCTTTTTTTTTTTTTTT